TCAGGCTTATTTTATAAAATAGCACAACAGTAACTATCTATCTATCTATCTATCTATCTGTCTATCTATATATATTGTTTTTTAGCTAGTTATGGTGGCTCACGCCTGTAATCCCAGCACTTTGGGAGGCCAAGGCAGGAGGATCACCTGAGGTCTGAGTTCCACACAAGCCTGACCAACATTGAGAAACCCTGACTCTACTAAAAATACAAAATTAGCCGGGCCTGGTGGTGCACACCTGTAATCCCAGCTACTAGGGAGGCAGAGGCAGGAGAATTGCTTGAACCTGGGAGGTGGAGGTTGTGGTGAGCCGAGATGGCACCACTGCACTTCAGCCTGGGCAACAAGAGCAAAACTCCATCTCTAAATAAATAAATAAATAAAATAGAAATTTAAAAAATATTTTTAAAAAAGTAAAATACTCTTTGCCATTTCATAAAATAAGCCTGAATTTGCCATATTGTATAAATACTGGTACTCAAAATACCAAATATTTTAATCAAAATTATTTAGACAGTATGTTTATATAATTTTATGATTTTTAACTATAGTGATAGACATTCACAAATCTTTCATAAATCAAACATATTAGTATTAGCTTTTTTTTTTTTTAAAGACAGGGTTTCACCATGTTGTCCAGGCTGGCCTCAAACTCCTGACCTCAGATGATCTGCCTGCCTCAGCCTCCCAAAATACTGGGATTACAGGCATGAGCCACCACAACCGGCAAACAACCCTTGACTCAACTCTGCTCTCTTTTTTCTTTTCTTTTTCTTTTTTAATAAAGACAGGGTTTCTCCATGTTGGCCAGGCTGCCCTCGAACTCCTGACCTCAGGTGATCCACCTGCCTCGGCCTCCGAAAGTGCTGGGATTACAGGGGTGAGCCACTGCGCCCGGCCGGTATTAGCTAATTATTATTACTACTGCTACTACTACTATTATTATTGGAGACTGAGTGTCGCTCAGCCACCCCAGCTGGAGTGCAGTGGAGCAATCTCAGCTCACTGCAACCACCATCTCCCAGGTTCAAGCGCTTCTCCCGTCTCAGCCTCCTGAGTAGCTGTGATTACAAGGACCCGCCATCATGCCAGGCTAATTTTTGTATTGTAGTAGAGACGGGATTTCACCATATAGGCCAAGCTGGTCTTGAATTCTTGACCTAAGGTGATGCCCCTGCCTTGGCCTCCCACAGTGCTGGGATTACAGGCGTGAGCCACCGCACCCTGCCTAGTATTAGTCTTTACGTAGTAGTTATATATAAAAGATCAAAGATCTGTTCAAAATGGATATTTTTAATTAATAATTTGATGTTTTCTCATTTTTTTTTTAAGACACAGTCTCGCTCTGTCGTCCAGGCTGGCATGCAATGGCGCAATCTCCGCTCACTGCAACCTCTGCCTCCTAGGTTCAAGCTGATTCTCCTGCCTCAGCCTCACAAGTAGCTGGAACTACAGGCATGCACCACTACGCCTGGCTAATTTTTGTATTTTTAGTAGAGAAGGGGTTTCACCATGTTGGCCAGGATGGTCTGGAACTTCTGACCTTGTGATCGGCCCACCTCGGCCTCCCAAAGTGCTGGGATTACAGGCGTGAGCTACCGTGCCCGGCCTAATTTGGTGTTTTCAAATAAATACACTAAATTTTTGTTTTAATCAGAGTAATTCTGGGGTTAGTGGATTAATTTTTTTATGATGTGTTTAAAAACTTTTAATTTAACCTAATATTGATTGGTGATGGGTAAACAAATTGATATTTTTCAAATTTCATAGGTCTATTAAATTGTCAAAGATATTTTTAATCAGAAAATTCTGTCGTTCAGTATTCTTTCAGAGATTCAGGTCTAGTTGAATCTGCTCAACCTGTTAATCAGTGTCAGGTGCCAAATTCCAGTTCGCTATCAGTGTGCTATATGACTGTCCTTTCCATAGTCTTTGAATTAAATTTGTATTACTTATTTGACTGTTATGTGATACAGCTCATACATTTAAAATGAAACCACCAGTTAAAATGAGTTCTGGCTTAGTATGAAGAAGCTATTAGCAACTCAGTATTACATATACAAATGGATGCGGCTCAAGAAGAATTTAGACAAAAATATTGAACTATAATGTATTGCCAAGACTTAGTGTCTAATGAGCTTACAAATCCAGATTTCAGTACCCATATACAGTTCTACTCAGTACCTCTAAAGGAGGTATATCAAGAATTCTTATGCTACTGAAAAAACAGATTCTGCTATTACCTAAGAAATCAACTGGATGGTTTTTTGTTGTTGGTTTTGCTTTTTTGTTTTTTGAGAGTCACTCTGTCACCCAGGCTGGAGTGCAGTGGAGCAATCTTGGCCCACTGCAACCTTTGCCTCCCAGGTTCAAGCCAGTTCTTCTGCCTCAGCCTCCTGAGTAGCTGGGATTACAAGTGTGTGCCACCACACCTGGCTAATTTTTGTAATTTTAGTAGAGATGGGGTTTCACCAAGTTGGGTCAGGCTGGTATCGAATTGCTGACCTCGTGATCTGCCCGCATCGGCCTCCTAAAGTGCCGGGATTACAGGTGTGAGCCACTGCACCGGCCTTTGGAAGGCATCCTTATAACCTTACACCACATAAGGAAAAACTGAAAGGTGGTACTAATAAATGCAAAGTAGATCACCTGGAAAACGGTAATGCAGAGTGTCATTTTCAATATTTATTTGAACTTTTGGCATGAAAAATTTGGTAAAATAAAGCTTTTGGTAAGCTTTGTGTAGCTTAATATCAGCATAAAGTAGGAAAAAAATCTTTAAAAGGTCCAATGCATATATATCGATGCATATATATTGATCTTTGTGTTGGGGGAAATCCAATGCATATATATCGATGCATATATATCGATCTTTGTGTTGGGGGAGTCTAAAGCATAACATTTGGTGAACTTGATACAGTTATTTTCAGCATATTGGCATGCTGATAAAATTATTTATATTTAATTTGAGTGAAACATATCCACATCTCAGAAATACAGCTTTGTAGTATGAATAATAAATGCAAAGTCTTTATCCTCAAGAGGATCCTCATTCTCAGCCCAGCATATATGGCAATGCTTTCCACTGGTTCCTCCAAACTGAGGCCTGATTAAGACTCAAATACGGGGAGAGAGGGACCCAGCAGCAGAGAATGTGAGACAAGAAGGATTAGGTACGATAGTCAGCTCTAAGGCTCAGAAATTCCCAGTATAATGACATCAACTATAAAGCTTACAGGGTAAAAATAAACATAAAAAGCTGAAAACTCCATCGGTTGGTTGACTTTGGTGGGAAGGAGTCTCTAGAACTGGAAGCAGTTATACCAAAAGGATGAAGTCAGAATGACATTTATCTAAGATTTATTAAGGCAAAGGTTTACAAGCTAGTAAGTATTTGCTCTAAATCTTATTACTGTAGCAATATTATTTTCAGTAATGTCAGCTTCCTCAAGCTAGGGATGCCATAGACAAACTAAGACAAGTGCCCAATATGTTGTAGGCTATTACTTTCTTTTTTTTTTTTTTTTTTT